ACTATACATGTAAAATTCTTTATATTCTATTTATGTTACCAAATTTTATTAGTTTTGTGAATAATAAATTATTATGTTGAAATTAGATCTTTCATTTAAAATATATTTATTTCCTTTTTTCAAAGCAATATTAATTGTGTTATTTTTAAATTTGGCGGTTAAAGTTAGCCCCAACGATCTGGCAACGTCGCTCGCTTCGCTTCGATGCGCAGCGAACAATGTTGCCAGATCGTTGGTTAGCCCAGTTTTACACCATTATCCTAGTGGAAGTTGGTTTTAATCTATGATTAGTACTCTGCGGTGACATCGGATGACGCTGTACGCAAGGTACAATTTAATAAGGTAGAGTTGGCCATCTCTATCCTTCCTTGTCTCTGACACGAACTGTCAAAAATAATATTTAATAAGGTTAACTCCCGCTAGATGGAGTGAGAAGTCGGTTAAAAAGAAGGAATTTTTAAGATTTAAAGAATGAAAAAGCATTAAAATTTGAATGAAGATTCAATTCACCTTTAAATTTTAATTGATTAATTAATAAAAAATAAACAAATTAAATAATTAACAAAAATACCTTATTCATTTCAAGTTGACGACACAAAAAGTTAGGTTATGCTTTCAAAAACTTCTCCGATTAATTTATGGAAGAAAAATCTCTTCATAGAACTTAAAATCACTCGAGATAAGTGGTTTGAATGTTCAAAAACGTATTTTGATGGTTCTTTTTGGTTCAAATACATTTCTTTCTTGAAAATTTGTTAATTTTAGGAAGAAATGGTGCGCGGATTGTCAAAAATACGATTTAATAAGATTAATTCCCGCTAGATGGGGTAAGAAGCCGATTAAATCTGATTCACCTCTAAATTTGTATTAATTAATTTATAAACAAATAAAATTGTGAACAAAAATAACTTCACCGATTAGTTTGAGATGGAAGAATCTTTTCGTAGATAAAATAATTAATTTTAATTGTTAAGGTTGGTCATGCAACCCTAAAAATGTCAAAGAGGTTATGTTTTAACCTCACTTTTAAAACTATTTTGTAGCAAAACCCTTTTTGTGCTTAATTACCTTGATCTTATCTCGAATTAATCATTTCTTTGTCTCAACAAAATCAGTTTTAGCAGCATTTAGACGAAATCTCCGAAGGTTTCTTTCCAAAATAATCATCCACCTTTTATAACAAAAAGTAAATTTAATGCTAGGTATCATTTTTATAGATATGTTAATTAAAATTGTACCTTTATTAAAACGTGACATCTAATAATCTTCATTGCTTGTTTCAAATTCATGCTTGAAGGCAAAAAAATAAACAGAAAAATAAATACTAAAATAGAAATAAGTAGCAATGCAAACCAAATTAATGGTAAATCTGAAAAAATAAATACATTATTTCGATAAATAGGGAAGAATTGGAAAGGATTTTTGAAATAATTTATTTAACTTAATTAAAAGAATCTATTTTAAATCTAATTGGTCTTAAATTTTAAATTAAATCACTTCGTTTTAAAAATTAATAATAATTAATTATTGGTGAAACACCTCGTTAATTAATAAATCTTGAAATTAATAAATCTAAGTCATCAGAAATAAAAATAAAATAAAAAAATAGATTACTCACTTCACCTTCCACTTAATTACCGAAAATAATTAATTTTATCGTTCTTATTTAATAATCATTTCTTTTTAAATTGTTCTTATAACCATGGATGCCAAGCGGGATCCATTCTACACAAATTATCGTGGCTACTAGCCGCTGTAACCAACGTCGAAACTTTGCTGTCGACACCATCGAAATGCGCCAAACTGTTCAAACGGTTTGTTATCGACGTAACAGCTTTATTTACCATCCCGATTAGTTGTTCGTTGTCGTTGAGGCGTTCTTCTTTTACATCGGGATCTTCAGTTTTTTTAATACGGGATAAAACCATTTCATCGCGCAGGATCGGACGCATTATCGAGAAGACCTGAATGCATTAATAATGGTATATTAATATAAGAGGGCTATTATATGTGAGTAGAAAATTATACATTGTCCACGACTACTATTGAAATTCACTCCATATACTTATTTTTTTAAATAAAATAATGATAATAATTATAATTTATAATTTAATGTGAAAGAGGAGAAAATTTCGTGAATTTTGATACCAAACACGACCCATTTGCTGTTATAAACAAAAATGTTGCTAATAGTTACAATAAAAACAAAATGGCGGCTTCAAAATCAAAAATTAACCGTTTTTTGAGATAAATATGGCGTGTTTGGTATCAAATTAAAGCAAATTTAGTTTCCTAAACGATTTTGATGATGAAAACATTAATTTTGTTTCAATTATAAAATTTTCGTGGAATTAATTCATTAACAAATTTGAGAAAAACAACCAGAAAGTGCTTTAACGTGAAAGAGGAGAAAATTTCGTGAATTTTGATACCAAACACGACCCATTTACTGTTATAAACAAAAATGTTGCTAATAGTTACAATAAAAACAAAATGGCGGCTTCAAAATCAAAAATTAACCGTTTTTTGAGATAAATATGGCGTGTTTGGTATCAAATTAAAGCAAATTTAGTTTCCTAAACGATTTTGATAATGAAAACATTAATTTTGTTTCAATTATAAAATTTTCGTGGAATTAATTCATTAACAAATTTGAGAAAAAGAACCAGAAAGTGCTTTAACGTGAAAGAGGAGAAAATTTCGTGAATTTTGATACCAAACACGACCTATTTACGAAAATTAAGAAATTAAAAACAAAATGGCGGCATTTTTATTGATTTGCTAACCTAACTTTTTTGATTTTTATCGTAAATAGTTCGAGTTTGGTGTTAAATTGAAGCAAATTTTATTTCCGAAACGATTTTGATACTGAAAATGTTAATTTTGCTTCAATTAAGAAATGTTCGTGAAATTAATTATTTAATAAAGTCGAGAAAATCAACCAGAAAATGCTTTAACGTGAAAGAGGAGAAAATTTCGTGAATTTTGATACCAAACACGACCTATTTACGAAAATTAAGAAATTAAAAACAAAATGGCGGCATTTTTATTGATTTGCTAACCTAACTTTTTTGATTTTTATCGTAAATAGTTCGAGTTTGGTGTTAAATTGAAGCAAATTTTATTTCCGAAACGATTTTGATACTGAAAATGTTAATTTTGCTTCAATTAAGAAATGTTCGTGAAATTAATTATTTAATAAAGTCGAGAAAATCAATCAGAAAATGCTTTAACGTGAAAGAGGAGAAAATTTCGTGAATTTTGATACCAAACACGACCTATTTACGAAAATTAAGAAATTAAAAACAAAATGGCGGCGTTTTTATTGATTTGCTAACCCAACTTTTTTGATTTTTAAGGTAAATACGTCGAGTTTTGCATCAAAATGAAGCAAATTCAATTTCCTAAACGATTTTGATAATGAAAACATTAACTTTGTTTCATTTAAAAAAATATTCGTACAATTAATTAATTAATTAACTTAAGAAAATTGACCAAAAAGTGCTTTAGCGTAATAGAGAAGAAAATTTCGTGAATTTTGATACCAAACACAACATATTTATGACAATATTAAAATTTTGCAAAATGGCGACGTTTGTGTTGATTTTAACCTAACTTTTTTTAATTTTTAACGGAAATGTATCGTGTTTGGTATCAAATTAAAGGAAATTAAATCTAGATTACGAATTTAACGTCGAAATCAAATTATTTTTTAAAATTTCTTTGCTACAAAAACATAAAACAAAAACATTTTCTTTCTACAATTAAAAAAAAAAAAGTATATTATTATACGAGCGTATAATGAGGGCTATTATGTATTAAGCTATTAATTTTAAACGTCAATGTGACACAAATTAAATGTAACCAACTTCACTACAATTTGTCAAAATTAAATGTCAATTTTATGAAACGTCAAGGTTTTTTTTAATGAAAATTAATTAATTTATGCTGAAATTATACGAACCGATTCATAAAAAGCGATCTCGCTAGAAACAGCCACAAAAAGTAAACTCACAAGATACGAAATATTCAGTCAACCCAACCTAACCTCACTTTTTCAAGTGACATTTTTCACAACCGTTACTGCCGATGGAATACGAAATAAAACTAAAACTAGAAATTTTAGGGTTATGCCTTGCGTCTTTGACGATGAATGAGTTAAATACATTTTTTTAATGAAACGTCAAAAAAATGTCATTTGAAAAATTGAGGTTAGGTTATGTTAGAAAAGTATCCTCAACATCATTTTCGAGTACCAACACGGCCGTTTTCGAAGACATCGGCCGCCCCCGGCCATCGCGGGCGCTCTGACACACGGCATAACCTCATAATTTCTAGTTTTATTTCTAACGCAAAATGAGTTAAATAAATTTCTTTTTCTGTCGACCGTGTATTTATATAATTTATAAATGTATATAAAATCATTCTTTAATGACACCTATTAATAAACGATTTAATATAAAAATCAAACCTCCTTTTAATGCGTCAAACGTCAGAACTTATTATTGTAGTCTTACCAAATAGATATAGTGGTCGGTATTACAGATTTCATTCGAGAATATTTACTAAATTGACTACTATATTTGTTCGGTCCATCGAAATATACTATATTTACTTAATTGTTAATTTTGTTTTTAAGCTATCATTTAGATGTCACTTTTGAAATTAAAATAGCAAAAATTGAGGTTGACATGTCATTTAGAATGTCAAACTGCAAGAAAATTGTAAATTTAGTCTTTAAGATGTTATTTTGATATTAAAATCTTTTTGTGATGCAAAATAATCAAATTTGACGGTTAGAACGTCAAATGGTAGCAATAATTAATGTTATTTACTGTAAGAAAATTGTAAATGAACGTAGCCAATGATGATTTGACATTTAAACGTCATTTTGAATTTAGAGAATAAATTAATTAACATTTTCCGTCGACCGTGTATTTATATGATTTATAAATGTATAGAAAATCATTCATTAATGACACCTATTAATATAAAAATAACCTCACTTTTAATGTGTCAAAAGTCAAAACTTATTATTGTAATCTTACCGAATAGATATAGTGGTCTATTGGGTCGGTATTACAGATTTCATTCAATTGACTACTATATTAGTTCGGTCGGACTTTCTTAAAGTTTGCCAGTGATAGAATTGGGTGATTTTTCAACGATGGATTTTTCTCTATTTTGTTGAAAAGACAGTAAACGGAAAAATATTGTAACTAACAATCGCCTTCATTAATACACTTGTTGATTAAATAACTATTTAATGAAACGTCAAAAAAGGTCACTTTAAGACGCATAGGAGATAGCGCCACCTGCCGGAAAGTCTTAAAATACGTCAAAAAAATGTCATTTGAAAAAGTGAGGTTGTGTTGGAAAAGTGTGATTAAAAATCCTCAACATCATTTTCTAGCACAACTTCAAACTAACACGGCCGTTTTCGAAGACATCGGCCGCCCCCGGCCATTAAAAATAAACATTTCGTGTTCTCGGGGGCGGCCGATGTCTTCGAAAACGGCCGTGTTAACTTAAAACTGTGTTATTTTTATTTATCTATCTGTTCGTCCCAACCTCACTTTTCCAAGTGACATTTTATGACGTTTCATTAAAAAAAAATTTATTTTACTCACTCAGTGCGTCCTCGAAGATTTTCTTTCATATTAGCGATTCATAAGAAGCTTGAAACAGCCACAAAAAGTAAACTCGGCCGACTTCGAAGACGTACGTAAGATACGAAATATCCATTCAAACCAACCTAACCTCACTTTTTCAAGTGACATTTTTCACAATCGTTACTGCCGATGGAATACGAAATAAAGGAATTTTAGGGTTATGCCGTGCGTCAAAGACACGGCATAACCTCAAAATCTCTAGTTTTAGTTTTATTTCTAACGCAAAATGAGTTAAATAAATTTCTTTTAATGAAACGTCAAAAAAGGTCACTTTAAGACGCATAGGAGATAGCGCCACCTGTCGAAAAAGCCTTAAAACATACGTTTGTAACTATCTTCTCATCATGTCAAATATATTTTTTTACGAAAATTAATTAATTTATGCTTAAATCATACGAAAAAAGGAATTTGTTTACGTTTTTTAATGTCAAACCTTTAGAAAGTCCTAAAAAATTAAATTAAATTGACGTTTTTTCAAATTTAGACGTTTCAAATAATGATTTTGTGGAACTTTGTGGAAAATAACTACCCTTATGTTATAGAAAACTTATTTATAAAGTAGTCGTGGACAAATTTATTTTTTTAAATAAATTTTTGAATAAAGTTTAAACGTCAATGTGACACAAATTCAATGTTACCAACTGTAATCAACAATTTGTCAAAATTAAACGTCAATTTTATAAAACGTCAAAATTAATTAATTTATGCTTAAATCATACAAAAAAATGAATTTGTTTATGTTTTTTTAATATCAAACCTTTAGAAAGTTAGAAAATTAAATTGAATTGACGTTTTTTGAAATTTTGACGTTTCAAATAATTATGATTACTTTTTTAAGTTGATTACTCGTCAATAATGATTATTCACCGCATTATATTAATCACTTCATATAAAAAAATGAATTTACCTTAAAATTGGGATAAACAAAACATCGTGCTGTTGCGATCATCGAAGCCGTTAATGGGCCACTAATTCCAATTGGAGATAAAAACTCAACTATATTTGGGGTTAATCTAAACGGAACTGGTCGCGTTGTATCTAATTCTCCCGTTGAATCATCAACGTCAAATTTAAAGTACGCGACGTTCATTAACCCAGAATCTTGATGTAAATACATCATATCAGGATTTAATCTCGTCAAGTGTAAAACATACTCTGCAAAACACGATAAAGCTAATTGTAGAGTGAACATTTTTCGAAATTGCCAATAATCCGTGGCTGAAGGAAACGTGGAGACGGCCCATTGTTTCAATAAAGTCCTTGGAACGGTGTTGGTTTGAACGCTTTTTAAGATTTCACGATAAACTTGATGACTAGCTTTAATCCCTCGACTTTGTACGTTTGCCAAGCGATCGTAATAAAGCCGAATCGGGGCGTCTTGTTCTATATTAAGTTTTGAACACCCTTTTTTGAAAATGTCCAATAATGAGATGGAGGATGGGTTATCTTCGATTAAACGGAAATGTTGCGAAACAGAAACAACTCGAGGAACGGTGTAATTCAAAAATCTCTTCGACGTCTCTTTTTGTTTCCCCAAATAATGATTCAGCATTCTTAAAAGTTGAAGAACTCGCTCCTCCCTCCTCGCGTCCGCTAAACCAGAGTCGTTTACCACTAAATAAGGATAAATCTTTCCATTATGTCCTCGAATGTACAGTCTTCTCGCTGCGGTGTTGTGTTTTTGAACGATATCAACTCGGGGCATAAATCTCGATATTTTAACGTAATAATGGGTGTGTTTTGGTAACAAAAATTCACCCGGAAGTTCAACATCGCCCGTTTTAAGCGTGAACGTAGCCAAATATCGGCAACGTTCCTCAATTAAAAATGACTGCAATAAAATTTTCGAATGATTTTCTAAAATAACGATCCATTTCTTCAATTTAAAAATTAACGTGTGTAATTTGATCGAATTTAAAGCGTTAAAATCGAAATCTTTCGTAAATTCCACTTTCATTTCTTTAAAAACGGGATCTTGATACGTCGCTTCGGCCCTTCTTGCTAAACTTTCGGATGCTGCGGAATGAAAAACCATATTTGTCGAACTGGACACGTGCTCCACACCAATACCAAACGTCGAAACCAATTTTTTAACGAAATTAAAAATATGCGGTGTGATTTTCGCTTCGTTTACGCTCTCGCGATTCTCGAACGCTATCGCGTAACATTTCGCCAATCCTTGACGAAGTTGTCTTAAAACTTCTTCGTGCCATTTTTCGCGGAACCACTCCATTTGATCGGCGATCCCTTCGAGGCTCGATAAAGTCGTTGTGTGTAAATCGCATAGCATTTTCATTATTTTCGAGCAACGGACCATAGCGGGGGATGCTTTTATTGATGATTCGGAACCGGTTGTTGCCCCGGATGTGCTATTTGATGTTGAGGGATCCGTTGTTGAATTGGTTTCGGTTTGTTCTTGGCTTTGCATCTGTATTTTTCGTGCGGCTGCTGTTCGCAGAGTTAAATATAAAGTCCGTATTGGGAAATATACAGCTTGCGGAAACATGCGACCAACCTAAAAATAAATCAATATTAAAATTTAATTTTACATTAGTTTTTGGTAATCTTTGGTAGCCCTGTGGTGAGTTATTTGATCTTTGCTTCGATCAAAGCTTTGAAAAACCCCAGAAACTTTAATTAACACGTTACTTAATTAAGTTGAAAATTTTAATTTTGGTGTTTTTTGGAAAACTTTCAAAAATGTCAGAGAATATAAAACGGATATTGATGCGTGTCAAAATTGTTGAAATAGACTGAAGATGGACGAAAATAAATTAATGGAATCAAAAAGATTGTTGAAGTTAACGTCAAAACTATGAAGTTGTCCATTTATTATATGGTGATCAACTTCAGATTTTAAATGTCAATCTCAATTTTGACATATTCGTAATCGTCATTAAAAATCCTTTAAAATGAGTACCAACACGATACATTTATCTTCAATATTAATGAAGGAATGGTCAACTTCCGGTTAGAAATGTCAAAGTCAATTTTGACATATACGTAATTTTAAAAAATGTCTTAAAATAAATATGATCTTTCATAAAAAATGAAAATATAACAAAAAATCTCTAAAATTGAGGTTGGTATTAATATTTAAAAGCTATGTTGCTAACTTCATTGTTGCCAACTTCGGATTTAATGTTTTTTATTCAAACTTTTTTGTTTTTTAAGTTAAGTGCGTCATGTTTGGGCTCATTTGAATGGTTATTTAATAATGATTACGAATACATCAAAATTAATATTGAAATTAACACCACGAAGTTGTCAACCTTTGATGCTTTGGTTTGAAACGTCAACCTCAATTTTGACGTATTCGTAATCATCATTAAAAATGCTTTAAAATGAGTACAAACACGACACATTTATCTTCAATATTAATGATGAAATGGTCAACTTCCGGTTAGAAATGTCAAGATAAAATTTGACATATTTGTGATCTTCATTAAAAATGCTTTAAAATGAGTCCAAACATGATACGTCTAACTTCAATATTACCCGAGATATAAGCAATTTCCGGTTAGAAATGTCAATGTCAATTTTGACATATTCGAAATTTTAATAAAATGTCTTAAAACAAATATAATTCTTCATAAAAAACGAAAATATAAGAAAGGTTGGTATCAATATTTAAAAATTATGTTGCTAACTTCATTGTTGCCAACTTCGGATTTGATGTTATTTATTCAAACTTTTTTGTTTTTTGAGTTAAATATGTCATGTTTGGGCTCATTTGAATGGTTATTTAATAAGGATTCCGAATACATCAAAATTAATGTTGAAATTAACACCACGAAGTTGTCAACCTTTGATGCTTTGGTTTGAAACGTCAACCTCAATTTTGACGTATTCGTAATCATCATTAAAAATCCTTTAAAATGAGTACAAACACGACACATTTATCTTCAATATTAATGAAGGAATGGTCAACTTCCGGTTAGAAATGTCAAGATAAAATTTGACATATTTATGATCATTAAAAATGCTTTAAAATGAGTCCAAACATGATACGTTTAACTTCAATATTACCCGAGATATAAGCAATTTCCGGTTAGAAATGTCAATGTCAATTTTGACATATTCGAAATTTTAATAAAATGTCTTAAAACAAATATAATTCTTCATAAAAAACGAAAATATAAGAAAGGTTGGTATCAATATTTAAAAATTATGTTGCTAACTTCATTGTTGCCAACTTCGGATTTGATGTTATTTATTCAAACTTTTTTGTTTTTTGAGTTAAATATGTCATGTTTGGGCTCATTTGAATGGTTATTTAATAAGGATTCCGAATACATCAAAATTAATGTTGAAATTAACACCACGAAGTTGTCAACCTTTGATGTTTTGGTTTGAAACGTCAACCTCAATTTTGACGTATTCGTAATCATCATTAAAAATCCTTTAAAATGAGTAGAAACACGACACATTTATGTTCAATATTAATGTAGAAATGGTCAACTGCCGGTTAGAAATGTCAAGATAAAATTTGACATATTTGAACCTATGGTTTGAAATGTCAACCTCAATTTTGGCGTATTTGTAATTATCGTTAAAAATCCTTTAAAATGAGTACAAACACGACACATTTATCTTCAATATTAATGAAGAAATGGTCAACTTCCGGTTTGAAATGTCAAAGTCAATTTTGACATATTCGTAATTTTAATAAAATGTCTTAAAATAAATATAATTTTTCATAAAACACGAAAATATAAGAAAATATCTCTAAAATTGAGGTTGGTATTAATATTTAAAAATTATGTTGCTAACTTCATTGTTACCAACTTCGAATTTAAAGTTTTTTATTCTAACTTTTTTGTTTTTTGAGATAAGTGTGTCAAGTTTGGGCTCATTTAAATGGTTATTTAATAAGGATTACGAATACATCAAAATTAAAGTTGAAGTTATCACCATGAAGTTGTCAAGCTTTGATTCTTTGGTTTGAAATGTTAACCTCAATTTTGACGTATTTGTAATCATAGACGCACTTATCTTGATGATTACGGAAGTTTTTGGAGATGTCTGGGTAACTTAAGAAATCATTAGATAGCTTCTGGAGACTCTTTGACATCATGGAGTATGCTCTAAAAATCTTCAAAAGTACCTAGGAAGTATTTAGACACTTTTTGACATCTACAAAAATCCTCTGGAAATCTTTAAAAATCTCCAGAAAGCATTTAGACATTATTTGATAATTATGGAGGTTTTTAGAATTGTCTGGGTAACATAAGAAATCAATAGAAAGCTTCTGGAGACTTTTTGACTTCTATAAAAATTCTCTGGAAATCTTTGAAAATCTTCAGAAAGCGTGTAGAACACTTTTTGATGATTATGGAAGTTTTTGGAAATGCCTGGATAACTTAAGAAATCATTAGATAGCTTCTGGAGACTCTTTGACATCATTGAGTATGCTTTAAAAATCTTCAAAAGTACCTAAGAAGTATTTAGACACTTTTTGACATCTACAAAAATCCTCTGGAAATCTTTAAAAATCTCCAGAAAGCGTTTAGACATTATTTGATAATTATGGAGGTCTTTAGAATTGTCTGAGTAACATGAGAAATCAATAGAAAGCTTCTGGATACTTTTTGACTTCTATAAAAATTCTCTGGAAATCTTTAAAAATCTTCAGAAAGCGTGTAGAACACTTTTTGATGATTATGGAAGTTTTTGGAAATGTCTGGATTACTTAAGAAATCATTAGATAGCTTCTGGAGACTCTTTGACATCATTGAGTATGCTTTAAAAATCTTCAAAAGTACCTAAGAAGTATTTAGACACTTTTTGACATCTACAAAAATCCTCTGGAAATCTTTAAAAATCTCCAGAAAGCGTTTAGACATTATTTGATAATTATGGAGGTCTTTAGAATTGTCTGGGTAACATGAGAAATCAATAGAAAGCTTCTGGATACTTTTTGACTTCTATAAAAATTCTCTGGAAATCTTTAAAAATCTTCAGAAAGCGTGTAGAACACTTTTTGATGATTATGGAAGTTTTTGGAAATGTCTGGATTACTTAAGAAATCATTAGATAGCTTCTGGAGACTCTTTGACATCATTGAGTATGCTTTAAAAATCTTCAAAAGTACCTAAGAAGTATTTAGACACTTTTTGACATCTACAAAAATCCTCTGGAAATCTTTAAAAATCTCCAGAAAGCGTTTAGACATTATTTGATAATTATGGAGGTCTTTAGAATTGTCTGGGTAACATGAGAAATCAATAGAAAGCTTCTGGATACTTTTTGACTTCTATAAAAATTCTCTGGAAATCTTTAAAAATCTTCAGAAAGCGTGTAGAACACTTTTTGATGATTATGGAAGTTTTTGGAAATGTCTGGATTACTTAAGAAATCATTAGATAGCTTCTGGAGACTCTTTGACATCATTGAGTATGCTTTAAAAATCTTCAAAAGTACCTAAGAAGTATTTAGACACTTTTTGACATCTACAAAAATCCTCTGGAAATCTTTAAAAATCTCCAGAAAGCGTTTAGACATTATTTGATAATTATGGAGGTCTTTAGAATTGTCTGGGTAACATGAGAAATCAATAGAAAGCTTCTGGATACTTTTTGACTTCTATAAAAATTCTCTGGAAATCTTTAAAAATCTTCAGAAAGCGTGTAGAACACTTTTTGATGATTATGGAAGTTTTTGGAAATGTCTGGATTACTTAAGAAATCATTAGATAGCTTCTGGAGACTCTTTGACATCATTGAGTATGCTTTAAAAATCTTCAAAAGTACCTAAGAAGTATTTAGACACTTTTTGACATCTACAAAAATCCTCTGGAAATCTTTAAAAATCTCCAGAAAGCGTTTAGACATTATTTGATAATTATGGAGGTCTTTAGAATTGTCTGGGTAACATGAGAAATCAATAGAAAGCTTCTGGATACTTTTTGACTTCTATAAAAATTCTCTGGAAATCTTTAAAAATCTTCAGAAAGCGTGTAGAACACTTTTTGATGATTATGGAAGTTTTTGGAAATGTCTGGATTACTTAAGAAATCATTAGATAGCTTCTGGAGACTCTTTGACATCATTGAGTATGCTCTAAAAATCTTCAAAAGTACCTAGGAAGTATTTAGATACTTTTTGACATCTACAAAAATCCTCTGGAAATCTTTAAAAATCTCCAGAAAGCGTTTAGACATTATTTGATAATTATGGTGGTCTTTAGAATTGTCTGGGTAACATAAGAAATCAATAGAAAGCTGCTGGCGACTTTTTGACTTCTATAAAAATTCTCTGGAAATCTTTAAAAATCCTCAAAAAGTGTTCAATCAAAATTAAAATTGAAATTATCACCATGAAGTTGTCAATACCTCATGAAGAAACACTATGAAGTTGTCCATTTGTCTATTATATGATAACTAACTTCAGGTTTAAAATGTCAACCTTAATTTTGACATATTTGTTATCTTCATTAAAAATCCTTTAAAATGAGTACAAACACGACACATTTATCTTCAATACTAGTGAAGAAATGATCAACTTCCGGTTAGAAATGTCAAGGTAAAATTTGACATATTTATGATCTTCATTAAAAATACTTTAAAATGAGTCCAAACATGNTAGGAAGTATTTAGACACTTTTTGACATCTACAAAAATCCTCTGGAAATCTTTAAAAATCTCCAGAAAGCATTTAGACATTATTTGATAATTATGGAGGTTTTTAGAATTGTCTGGGTAACATAAGAAATCAATAGAAAGCTTCTGGAGACTTTTTGACTTCTATAAAAATTCTCTGGAAATCTTTGAAAATCTTCAGAAAGCGTGTAGAACACTTTTTGATGATTATGGAAGTTTTTGGAAATGCCTGGATAACTTAAGAAATCATTAGATAGCTTCTGGAGACTCTTTGACATCATTGAGTATGCTTTAAAAATCTTCAAAAGTACCTAAGAAGTATTTAGACACTTTTTGACATCTACAAAAATCCTCTGGAAATCTTTAAAAATCTCCAGAAAGNAATAAGGATTACGAATACATCAAAATTAAAGTTGAAATTATCACCATGAAGTTGTCAACCTTTGATCCTTTGGTTTGAAATGTCAACCTCAATTTTGACATATTTGTAATCTTCATTAAAAATCCTTTAAAATGAGTACAAACACGACACATCTCGTTTCAATATTAATGAAGTTGTGGTCAATTTCCGGTTTGAAATGTCAACATCAATTTTGACATATTCGTAATTTTAAAAAATGTCTTAAAATAAATATAATTTTTCATAAAAAAACGAAAATATAAGAAAAAATCTCTAAAAGTGAGGTTGGTATTAATATTTAAAAATTATGTTGCTAACTTCATTGTTGCCAACTTCGAATTCAATATATTTTATTCTAACTTTTTNCATGCTTTAAAAATCTTCAAAAGTACCTAAGAAGTATTTAGACACTTTTTGACATCTACAAAAATCCTCTGGAAATCTTTAAAAATCTCCAGAAAGCGTTTAGACATTATTTGATAATTATGGAGATCTTTAGAATTGTCTGGGGACCATAAGAAATCAATAGAAAGGTTCTGGAGACTTTTTGACTACTATAAAAATCTTCAGAAAGGGTTCGAATACATCAAAATTAAAATTGAAATTATCACCATGAAGTTGTCAATACCTCAAGAAAAAACACTATGAAGTTGTCCATTTGTCTATTATATGATAACTAACTTCATGTTTAACATGTCAACCTCAATTTTGACATATTTGTAATATTCATTAAAAATCCTTTAAAATGAGTACAAACACGACACATCTCGTTTCAATATTAATGAAGTTATGGTCAATTTCCGGTTTGAAATGTCAACGTCAATTTTGACATATTCGTAATTTTAACAAAATGTCTTAAAATAAATATAATTTTTCATAAAAAACGAAAATACAAGAAAAAATCTCCAAAATTGAGGTTGGTATTAATATTTAAAAATTGTTGCTAACTTCATTGTTGCCAACTTCGAGTTTAATATTTTTCATTCTAACTTTTTTGTTCTTTGATATAAGTGCGTCATGTTTGGGCTCATTTGAATGGTTATTTAATAAGGATTACAAATACATCAAAATTAAAGTTGAAATTATCACCATGAAGTTGTCAACCTTTGATCCTTTGGTTTGAAATGTCAACCTTAATTTTGACATATTTGTAATCATCATTAAAAATCCTTTAAAATGAGTACAAACACGACACATTTATCTTCAATATTAGTGATGAAATGATCAACTTCCGGTTAGAAATGTCAAGGTAAAATTTGACATATTTGAAGCTATGGTTTGAAATGTCAACCTCAATTTTGGCGTATTTGTAATTATCGTTAAAAATCCTTTAAAATGAGTACAAACACGACACATTTATCTTCAATATTAATGAAGAAATGGTCAACTTCCGGTTTGAAATGTCAAAGTCAATTTTGACATATTCGCAATTTTAATAAAATGTCTTAAAATAAATATAATTTTTCATAAAACACGAAAATACAAGAAAAAATCTCTAAAATTGAGGTTGGTATTAATATTTAAAAATTATGTTGCTAACTTCATTGTTGCCAACTTCGAGTTTAATATTTTTCATTCTAACTTTTTTGTTTTTTGAGATAAGTACGTCATGTTTGGGCTCATTTGAATGGTTATTTAATAAGAATTACAAATATATCAAAATTAATGTTGACATTAAAACCATGAAGTTGTCAAAGTAAATTTTCTGGTACAATTAGATCTTTGGAATTTTTCCCACAGGGCTACCTAATTTGAAGATAAACTGATACAAGAAAATTTGTATCCCTATAAAAATTTAATTCAAAATAAATCTTACCTGACATAATAAGTTTGCAATAACATTTCCATCATACAAAACCAAACAATTTAATAATTGCGGTATCCAAGGTACCCAAGAACTCGGGGGAACCCCAGCCGAGTATTTATCTAAAGCTTCCATTAAACTACCTTTATCATCATCATAACTAAGCAGCCACAAAACTTTAGCCAAATACTTTCTAGCTTTGCTCTCATTTTGGATGCGACACGCGTGTAAGAAACACACGATCGCATTCACTCCAACGCTAATTTGTCGGGGATCCCTGGTAAAAACTTGTTCTAAATAATCTCCATATAAAGCCCAAGATTTTATCGAAGTATCGTGCATTTGAATCGCAACCGAAAACGATTTATTCGCATCTTCTGATTTACTACTTAAATGATAAAGTAAACCTTTCATCGCATAAAACTCCGCCGTCATTTCTTTGGAGAAATAACGAACGTTGGTGTTGTTGATGACTTCGAGGCCTTCGTGAAGTTCGTTTCGGTTGTTACTAATCGAAGCCATTTGGAGGTAACATTTAACTTGTTGGCGAATTTTTTGGAAACAATCTACAATGTGGACGCTCGCTATCATGTAGATTTTGTTGAGAGAATCCAAACAAACTCCGGTTAATTTGTGTTTTCGGGCTATTTTACCATAATGAATGATACTCTGTCAAAAAAAAAATAATAAAAATTAATTATTAATAAAAAAATAATCAAAAAAATTACTTGTGCTGAAGCATGAACCCCCAACATCGAATTAGTATGGGCCCTATCACCCAACGTATCATAATGGTTAATAATAAATTGATAATGTTGTTGTCTCCACGTAAAAATATCGTTCCAATGTGATAAATCATCCGCGATCACGGGTAAACGATTTCTCCATGTTTTTACGATCGCTTTCATATCGTGCAATGAGTTTTGATGACCTTGTAATAACCCTTTATGAATTTGATAAGCCTCTTGTAGCTCCATAATTTGTTGGGCAGCTTGCAAATATTGCACGTGAATATGTGACACAATACTAGGCAATCTTCTCCATTCGTTCAAACAGAGTGAAGTTGCAGTTTCCACATAGCGTTCGGCGAATTTTAACGGTTTTTCCGGTTCGGGGTTACAAATTAATAAAAATCCACCATACATCGTTACTTTCCATGCTAATTCTTTATGGTAGCTATACTCAACGTTTGTTAAAGCTTCTTTCATGTATTCCCAATTTGGTATTCTCCACGCGCTTTCTAATAAACCGTAAGCGTTGTAATGGGTGTGTTTTGAGTATTCAGCGATAAATTCCCATTGGCTGAGTTCTTTAGCGCATCTTTGCCAATGATTTTCCCACAAACACACTTCTTTTTGGGTGTATGATGGTACCGGGCCAATAGTGCAATCTTGTTTGTACTTGTTGAAACATAATTCGTACGCCGATTGAGCTTGTTCGTAAAATCCGTGTTGTTCGTAGGCGATTGCGGTGTTCGTTTCTTTCCAATGAGCGAATTTCTGCCACATTCCAGCCCACATATCTTCCTCGCATAAAAGGGTGTACATTTCGTTCAATGAAGTGAATACTTCCGATTTTGTATTGGGCTCATCGAAATCGTACGATTGATTACGTTGCGATTGTGAATCAAAAGCCATCTGTTCTAAGGCTAAAGTAGTGCGGTGCCACAAGTTGTGGGATTTTCCAAGATATTTCATTATGGGCCTAAAACAAACAAAAAAAATGGGAAGTTAATTGATTTTACTACCTTTTTGACTTAATAAATCGGTTTTATTTAATATTTTAAACAGTAAAAAGTTAGGTTAACTTTTCGAAATTTCCGCCGATTAATTTGCGGGGAAAATGTCACTTTATAGAACTTAAAATCGCTTGAAATAAATGATTTGGGCGCTCAAAAACGTATTTTGATTATTCTTTTAGGTTCAAATAAATTTTTTTTTGAAAATTATTAATTTTAAGTAATGAACTGTCAAAAATACGATTTAATACGAATTGAGTTAATTCCCGCTAGATGGGGCGAGAAGCTAAGTTAAAAGGTAGGAATTTTTTAAGATTTAAAAAGGAAAAATCGATAAAAATAAAAATTAAATTCTATTTACCTTTAAATTTTCAATAATTAACTCATAAAAAGGTAAACAAATAAAATTATTAACAAAAATACCTTAATAATGTCAAGTTGATGACACAAAAAGTTAGGTTATGTTTTCGAAAACTTCTTTGATTAATTTATGGAGGAAAAATCTCTTCGTAGAACTTAAAATCACTTGGAATAAATGGTTTGAAGGTTCAAAAACGTATTTTGATGGTTGTTTTTGGGTGAAATACATTTTTTTCTTGTAAATTTGTTAATTTTAGGAGAAATAAAGCGGGTGCGTTAACTGTCAAAAATACGATTTAATAAGGTTAATAATTCCCACTAGATGGGGTAAGAATCTGGTTAAAAAGAAGGAATTCTTAAGATTAAAGCTTTAAAATTTGAAATTTTTACCTAGATAAAGATTCAATTCGTCTTTAAAGTTTCATTGATTAATTCATAAAAAAATAAAATTATTAACAAAAATATCTTAATAATTTCAAGTCGATGACACAAAAAGTTAGGTTATGTTTTCGAAAACTTCTCCGATTAATTTATGGAGGAAAAATCTCTCCGTAGAACTTAAAATCACTTGGAATAAATGGTTTGAGTGTTCAAAAACGTATTTTGATGGTTGTTTTTGGGTGAAATACATTTTTTTCTTGTAAATTTGTTAATTTTAGAAAGAAATTAAGCGGGTACGTTAACTGTCAAAAATATGATTTAATAAGGTTAATAATTCCCGCTAGATGGGGTGAGAAGCTGGTTAAAAAGAAGGAATTTTTAAGATTTAAAGAATGAAAAAGCATTAAAATATGAAGATTCAATTCACCTTTAAATTATCATTGATTAATTCATAAAAAAATAAACAAACAAAATTATTAACAAAAATACCTAAATAATTTTAAGTTGATGACAATGATGACATAAAAAGTTAGGTTAAGTTTCAAAAATACGTTTTTTTTACCGCTAGATGGATCTCAATCTATAAAAAACGTTCATTTTCACCTAAATAAATATTAATTTCCTCTTTTTAATAATAATAATAAATAATTTGTGTGTTCAAAAACATATTTAGTTTTTATATTTTTGTGTAAATCCTATCTTTCTTTTTAATTTATTATATGGTTGTCAAAAATATGATTGAATTGCCGCTAGATGGGTCTGATTAAAATGATTTTTGAAGTTTATAACTTTCTTAATTACTGAAAAATAAAATAAAATAACTAAATAATAATGTTATGAGTTAAATTTACTTACGCAGCTATATGTATTGGGGGATTACACCTTGAAACCGCCTCCACAAACGTATCCATCGCACTTGGATGGCAATCTTTTTGTACAATATGCGTTCCACTTGTCATAAATCCCTGAATATCTTGCAAAATAACCGCGCGTTGTTGTTCATCCAAGATATCCCACAATTTAGGGAATAAATCCAACCAAACCGATTCGGCCAACCCCGTATCCATATGACATAATTGAGCTGTTGCAGCAAAAAATTGATCGGGAGTAACATTTCTGCACTGCTCAATAAATTTAACATGTTCATTTAAGATTTTTAAAACCTTTTCGGATCGATTTAAAACCTTTTCTTCTGATGAGGTGTTACTGACATCGCCGTTTGATAAATCGATGTCTAAAATTTCTTCTTTTATATCCATTGATTCGTAGAAATTAGGATTTTCTTTTTGGAAGGTTAAAAATTCGGTTTTTTTCTCAGAATCGGCGTGATTTATAACCGAGGTAATACTCGGAATAATACAACTTTCATGCGACATTTGAATTTGTCGATCAGGAGACACAGTGGCCAATAAAAGTTCGATGCATTGTTTAATCCAATAATGAGGACCGATTGAATCCCAATTTTGGGAACAAATTATGTAAAGTATTCGATCGTGTAGTTTTTTACGCATCGATTCATCGAAAACTTTAAAAAATTTAGCTCGAATCGCGGGTTGAGGCGATCTTAACCCCGCTAAGAAAGCTTGTTCTAATTTCGCGGTTAACTCGCTTTGTTTTAACGCTTCATCCGTATAAACGTAATTGACTAATTCGAGGAATTGCCCGTTTAATTCTTGATCATCCGGGAAGCGTTTTTCGAGGTACTGCATCATTTTAACTAATAAAATCGATTTTTCCCGCAAACTCGGGGCTTGAGATAACGTTATAACGTTTTTATTTTTCATCCATTCCTCTAACATTTTATTTATAGCCTTCATTACTTTGACGTCGGGGGATTTTTCGATTAATCCAACTAAAATTGTTCCAATAAAACTTTTTCTCATCTCAACACCCATCACAACAACGCGCGTTTTAACCAAATCTAAACTTAAAATTAATAATTCGGATGTTACTAAGCTCGATTCGGGCGCTGTCGGGGTGAGATGTTCTTTTTGTAGTTTTTGTAAAACCCTCATAAACGGGGTTATTAATAAGTCGATGTAAGAGTTGTTGTTCATACACGCAGCTTTTAAGACCATTAATGGGCCGAATAAGCTTGGGGGGGTCGCTTGGACGTTTTTTTCGTAGTTTGAGAGTCCCTCGAATATCGTTTTTCCCACCGTTGAATACAACATCTCTAATTCTTCGTATTTGCAGGATAAATTCGAATTTGTTCGCTCCGTTGGGAAGATGCTCATTAATTTGTGTAGTAAGGTGTGCATCGCTTTGATTACTTTTGAGTTCGGGGATTGGACGCAAGCTCCTAAGCGGCGCTGTAATAATTTAAATCCTGCTAAAATTTGCTCCTTTTTTAACACGGTTAAAAGAAACGTTAATAATTCTAATCCGGTGCAAATATTTGCGTAATTAGGACTCGCTGATTCTAAAGTTTGCAACAATTTGTCGTAAAACGCGAAGCTTATCTCGATGGGGTAGCTCCATAATTCGGGTTTTAATGCGGTTTTTAATAAGGATACGCATCGGCGACTTAGCATTTCACCAGGGGGGATCCCCAAAACGGTTTGGGGGTTAGCTGCTGGGGGATCGTTGACTTGGCAGGCTAAGCGCATCAAGCTGTTTAACACCATTTCGATGTGGAGGCGATCGAGGGGTTTTGAGACGTCCAAATCGGATGTTGATTTTGATGAGGTTGCTTGGATGGGGTTGAGCGCGAATTTTTTTCTTTGGGGGTCCGAATCCGGGTCTAATTTTTTCGTTGTTGGGACTGGAATTGGGGAAATTTGAGACGTTTCCTCCTCTTTTATCCCGTTTAATTCCCACTTAATTATAACCTCCGCTAACTCAACAGCTAATCGTTTATGCTCCATACTCGCTGTTGGGCTAAATCCCATCCTTTGCAAAGAATTAATCATGTGTTGCACCAAATGATGCCTCACCGGGTAATAAACTTTATAATGTTTCACAACTAATTGTAAAATATGATACAACTGTTGAATCGAATGTCCCTCATCAACAATAATCTTCTTCGTCCAATGCGTTAACATTTTATGACCCTCCTCCATCCTCAGCGGCATACTCGGAGTTAAAATTTCTAAAGCCTGCCGAACAACGCTTCGCGCTTCCAAACCATGCGCTTTCAACAGCGAATGGAAAACTTGCAAAACGATTTTGCGATGTATCGCGAATTTATCGATGATGTGGGACAACAACAACAACCCGTGGTATCTTGTAGCGGCGTCCACGCAATTTTTACCCAAAAGACACGGCCATGCGAACGTCATCAAACGGCGCAGCTTGAAACTTTGCGTTTTATTCGTCGCGTCGTGATCGTGAATGTGAGGGCTCGCTTGTTCCACCAATAAACAGGAAAATTGGAGGAGCGATATTCGGACGCAATCGGCGAATGGAAATGGACTATCTGGATCAACAACCTAAAATTAAAAAAAAATTTATTATAAAATTAATTAAATTCATTAAAAACCGATGATTCCCGAACGAATTCCGAAGCCAACTTGGCGATTTCCGAAGATATCCGATAAAACCCGAATCATAAAAAAAAAATAATTACTTAATTTAGAGCAAATTTAAGTAGTAAATAAAGATTAAATTCTATTCACCTTCAAATTTTCAATAATTAATTCATAAACAAATAAAATTATTAACAAAAATACCTTAATAATTTCAAATTGATGACACAAAAAGTTAGGTTATGCTTTCGAAAATTCCTCCGATTAATTTATGGAGGAAAAACCTCTTCGTACAACTTAAAATCACTTGAAATAAATAATTTGAGTGTTCAAAAACGTATTTTGATGGTTGTTTTTGGGTGAAACACATTTTTTTCTTGTAAATTTGTTAAATTTTAGGAAGAAATGAAGCGGGTGCGTTAACTGTCAAAAATACGATTTAATAATGTTAATAATTCCCGCTAGATGGGGTGAGAAGCTGGTTAAAAAGAAGGAATTTTTAATATTAAAAAAAGGAAAAAGCTTTAAAATTTGAAATTTTTCTCTAAATAAAGATTCTATTCGCCTTTAAAGTTTCGTTGGTTAATTCATAAAAGAATAAACAAATTAAATTATTAACAAAAATACCTTAATAATTTCAAGTTGATGACACAATAAGTTAGGTTATGCTTTCGAAAACTTCTCCGATTAATTTATGGAGGAAAAATCTCTTCGTACAACTTAAAATCGCTTGAAATAAATGGTTTGAGTGTTCAAAAACGTATTTTGATGGTTGTTTTTGGGTGAAACACATTTTTTTCTTGTAAATTTATTAATCTTAAGAAGAAATTAAGCGGGTGTGTTAACTGTCAAAAATACGATTTAATAATGTTAATAATTCCCGCTAGATGGGGTGAGAAGCTGGTTAAAAAGAAGGAATTTTTAATATTAAAAAAAGGAAAAAGCTTTAAAATTTGAAATTTTTCCCTAAATAAAGATTCTATTCGCCTTTAAAGTTTCATTGAATAATTCATAAAGAATAAACAAATAAAATTATTAACAAAAATACCTTAATAATTTCAAGTTGATGACACAAAAAGTTAGGTTATGTTCCAAAAACTTCTCCAATTAATTTATGGAGGAAAAATCTCTTCGTAGAACTTAAAATCACTTGAAATAAATGATTTGAGTGTTCAAAAACGTATTTTGAAGCATCTTTTTGGTTCAAATACATTATTTTTTTTTGAAAAATGAAATTGTTAAATATGTTATAATACGCTTTTTTACCGCTAGATGGATCTCCTCGCTATCTTTATCTACACAAAAACATGACTTTCACCTAAATTAATATTAATTTTCTCTTTTTAATAATAAATAATAAATAGTTTGTGTATTTTAGTTTTTTTTATATTTGTTTATCCTATCTTTCTTTTTGATTTATTTTATGGTTGTCAAAAATATGATTTATTTGCCGCTAGATGGGTCTGGTTAAAATGAATTCATTGAAAACCGATGATTCCCGAAGATATCCGATAAAACCCGAATCATAAAAAAACATTAATTACAATTACTTAATTTAAAGGAAACTTAATAATTGTATGTTAAATTGATAAAATTACTCATTTTAATAATAAAATTTATTTTTTTATACACTTACCCTATTTAAAAAGACTGAAACGACGTTATCTGGATGATCATGATAAGGAGCTGGTGGTGTTCCAATTAATTTGTTCGTTTCGCCGCGCTCAAAACCGACGGCAAAACATGGAATGATGATTAATTGAAGGATTTTTGCGATGAGTTCCTAAAAGAATCAAAAAAATCGGTTAATTAATAAAAGAAAATGATTTAAGTTTATTTAAACAATTTTTTTTGATAAATTGGTCCAAAAATTGATGAAGATGTTTAAGAAAAACCTCAGAAAACTCAAGATATGTTTCAAAATGTGTAAATAATCGATTTAAATATAATCGTTTAATAATCCCCAAAATGTCAAAATAAAATTAAGTTGGTTAAATAAAAAGTCACTGTTATTTCGTGTTGGTGATAAATTATTGACGTTTAAAATAGGTGTTGTTCCGATTCTGTAGTTTAATATCAAAATAATTAATGGAAATACGAAATAAAATAATAAAGTTAATAAAAAAATAATAATCAAATTGAAATTATGCTTAAATAATTAATTACTTGTGGATAATATATTTAAAATGAACTTCATCAAGATATATTATGGTGTATTGATGGATTAAAAACTAATATGGGACGTGATATAAGATAATAAAGCGTTAAATTAAGTGATTTTTTAATAATTAATAGACGTTATTTAATTAATTATTAAAATTTAGGTTGGCTAAAAAAAATCACCATTTTTGTGTTGGTAATGATTTTTCGTTTGACATCTAAAATAGGTTATGTTTTATTTTTGACGTTTAAAATAGGTAATGTTTCGATTTTGTAGTTTAATATCAAAATATTTAATGGAAATACGAAATAAAATAATAATGTTAATAAAAATATAATAATCAAATTGAAATAATGCTTAGATGCTTAATTACTTGTGGATAATATGTTTTAAATGAACTTTCTGGTACCACATTCATGATAAAATCAAGATATGTGGCGCATTGATGGATTAAAAACTAATATAGGACGTGATATAAGATAATAAGGTGTTAAATTAAGTGATTCTTTAACAATTAATAGACGTTATTTAATTAATTATTAAAATTTAGGTTGGTTAAAAAAAATCACCATTTTTGTGTTGGTAATAATTTTTCGTTTGACATCTAAAATAGGTTATGTTTCATTTTTGACGTTTAAAATAGGTTGTTTCGATTTTATAGTTTAATATCAAAAAAATTAATAGAAATACGAAATAAAACAATAAAATTATTAATTATTATGATTAGATAATTAAGCTTAGATAATAACTTGTGGCTAATATGTTTAAAATGGAATTTCTCGTAATACCACATTCATGAAAAAATCAAGATATGTGGTGCTTTGGTATGGATTAAAACGTGATAAAAGCCTAAATGAGACGTAATATACGATAATAAAGCGTTACTAAGTGATTCTTTAATGATTACTATACGTTATTTTATTAATTAAAACTTACCAACCTAAGTTTTAAAAAAAATCACCATTTTTGTGTTGGTAATAATTTTTCGTTTGACATCTAAAATAGGTTATGTTTCATTTCTGACGTTTAAAATAAGTAATGTTTCGATTTTGTAGTTTAATATAAAAAAAAATAATCGAAATATCAAATAAAATAATAAAGTTAATAAAAAATAATAATAATCAAAATGAAATTGTGCTTAGATAATTACTTGTGACCAATATGTTTAAAATGAACTTCCTTGCACTACCGTATTCATGATAGAATGAAGATATATGGTGCATTAATGGATTAAAAACTAATATGGGACGTGATATAAGATAATAAAGGGTTATTAAGTGATTTTTTAATAATTAATAGACGTTATTTAATTACTTATTAAAACTTAAGTTGATTAAAAAAAAAATCACCATTTTTGTGTTGGTAATAATTTTTCGTTTGACATCTAAAATAGGTTATGTTTCATTTTTGACGTTTAAAATTGTTTATGTTTTGATTTTGTAGTTAATATAAAAAAATTAATAGAAATGCGAAATAAAATAACAAAGTTAATAAAAAAAATAATAATCAAATTGAAATTATGTTTAGATAATTACTTGTGGCCAATATGTTTTAAATGAACTTCCTCCCATTACCACATTCATGATAGAATCAAGATATATGGTGCATTGATGGATTAAAAACTAATATAGGACGTGATATAAGATAATAAAGTGTTAAATTAAGTGATTCTTTAATAATTAATAGACGTTATTTAATTAATTATTAAAACTTAGGTTGATTAAAAAAAAAATCACCATTTTTATGTTGGTAATAATTTTTCGTTTGACATTTAAAATAGGTTATGTTTAATTTTTGACGTTTAACACAAAAAAAAATTAAAATAAATCCAAATTAATTAAATAACTCACCTGTGACATATCATCAGAAGTAAAATGTTCGACGAATCGGAAAAACGCCGACCGTTTCCAAACGACCGTATAATTTTGAGCAACAGTATTCTCCAAGAAATCCCTCAAAAATTGAAAATCGGGTATAAATCGGTCCGTCATCGCCCTCAATAACTCAAACAACAAATCGATATCGTTGGGATGATGACAAAAATAATGCAACAACACTTTCACTAACAACTTCGGTTCCTTCCAGTGTGTAAACTCCAAAGTATCCACTTTTTTGTGTCTTTCCTGATACGAATCGGTGCACCAAATTCGTTTAAACGAATCGACGAGTTCTTGTTGGGACGATAACCATTGATCGTCGAATTTAATTAATAACGAAACGATGCGAATCGATTGGTATTGATATTCATTTCGATCGTTTTGATTTATATTCGACGGGGTTAAATTTGAATTCGATAGATTAATCAATTTGTGGATCATTTCATTTTGGAGCGATTCCCGGAAAATTTTTCCATCGGGGTGTTTTATTAAATAGTGGAGATAACGCGAGTATTGGGGATCTTTGATTAATGCGTCATCGAGAAACATTTCTAAAGTTTCTGTTGGATATTGCACCAAAAATTTCATCAATTCCTCCCGGAATGGAGACGAAGCTTCGACGAAAAGGGCCCTTTCCGTTTGTAGGAGATATTGGGTTAATTGGCGGATGAATTTTGAGCTAGCCGCGGGGGTTTGGTGGAAAATGCTGATGCATGTTATGATTTTTTTTTCTTCTTCCCCTTTTTTTGAGATTCCCGTTGCTGGTTTTGGGGATGAAACTAAGTTTTCTAATAATTCTTTTAAAATTTCTAATAATTGCTCGCATAGTTTTTCGTTGAACGCTTTTGGGAATAATTGGGTTAAATAAGACAACAACATTAATCCGTTTAAAGTTAAGGATTTCGTGTCGCCTAATGTCATTAATAGAGGGCGCATCGTTTTGTGAATGACGTCTTTTTCCATTTGGTAACCCCCGATGAATATTTTCATGCATTCGAACGCCGTTTTTTGTAATTCTGAGTTGGGGCCTTCTAATGTTTTATATAGAACTTGGAAAATGGCTTCGCGAACTTCCGCGTCTAAGTAATGACACGCTGCTAAAGCGCGTAAAGCGCTTATTCGAAGTGGAACGAAATTCGTGATTGATTTGTAACAAGAAAAATTTTGTAGTTTCGAATCTTCGGTGTTACACAACGAGATTAAATCGGTTATGAATAATTTGTGCTCTTTTATGGTCATATCGATCGAAAATAATCGCGGGGTGAGGGAGGTGCAAAACATATTTCCGTCCATTAACCCCATTTGGGCGTTTGCGGGTTGGTGCTTTAATAAATGTTTTTTTGGAGGGACCATCTCCGCTAATTGATCTTTAAAAGGCTCCATAATCTCCGTAACTGATTTATTTAATTTCTCCGCGATTAGTTTTAATGACGACATGGATTGCTCGCGGACTAAAGTGTGTGGGCTCGTAACTTGGCGAACTAATTCGTGACACACCTTATTTAAAGCACTTTCTTGTAAATTTTTCGTTTTATAATCGTCGATTTCGTTTAAGGGTGAAACGCAGGCGATTAATAATTTTTCTAGATTATTTTTCGCGCTGTCCAAAGCCCCGCTTGAAACTTCACCTGTTAAATCCATCATCACGAAAAGGAGCGCTTTTAAAAATGTGTACATGTGCTCATAAACCCATTTTTTCGCGCAACGATCCAACATCACCTCAATGGCTTTGCACCCCCCTAATTTGGCATACCACGCTCTTTCGTAACACAAAGCGCACATCCTTTCTGATAAGTACTCAATAAAAGGGAGTTTGCACGCGATGTCTTTTGATCCTAAAAGATTCGTCGCTGTATTCACGATGATCGCTAAAGCATATTCCCCCGGTTTGCATAATTCTTTCTCCTCATGCCCGAAAATCACGAATAAAGCATCAACTAACAACATAGGATCCAACGGGATTTGTTCGTTGGGTGTTGGATTAACAGCGAATAACCCCGATTGTTGCGCAACTGCCACCATGGTGTAATGCCGCACGATGGCGTACATAGTTTGTAGCGCGGGGTATCTTAACTCTTTAATCGCCGCAGCGACGAACATCCCAATTAAAGCGGTTTGATGCGTCTCCCTCGCTTGCTTATAAATCGATTTATACGCAGACCCCGAAATTGTAACAATAAACGTCGAATCATTAAAAGAATGATGCATAAATAAATTAATTAACGTATTTTTATCATCGCTAAGATCCAAAGAAGCCGCTAAATAACAATGGATCGTCTCCCACGCTTGTTTTCGATAAAAAGAATCCGTCGTGCTTTGTTTTAAAGCGTTAAAAGCGGTCTCGATGATTTTCGAAACGGGGAATTCGATCGATTTGTGTTGTTCTTTGAAGTGGGCTAAAATCGCGGGGACGTCTTGGTCGCTCCCAATGTACTCCAATTTTTGCGGCTCCGTCAACATTTTTCGATTCCCCCCGCCAAATTTACCCAAAACTTTAAATGCAACTTGAGCGATTTGTTCTTGGGTGTTGTTCCGCAAAGTTTTCCACAAAGCTTGCATTAATTCGGCCCGAACCGGTTGGATGTGGTCGTACAAAAAGTCGTGTTGTAAATTATCGACGCAAAGTTCTAAAGTTCGCAATCCTTGGCTTATTAAAACGTTCGATCCGTTTAAAGCGGAAACTAAAGGATCCATAAGCATGGGTAAATACGGTAATAACGAACTTAATCGAACTGGGACCGTCAAACACAACTCGACGAATAAATCCTTCATATGCACTTTATGTAACCCGCTTTGTAATCGATTTAAACCTTCCAATAAATTTGGGAGAAGTGGGAGAAACTCCTGATACAACAAATCGTGGGATCCCCCTCCAATCGAGCGAAACAAAGCTCGTAAAAGCAAAAAATAATTATAAGGCTCTTTCGCCCCCATCGCTAACTCCATCGACCTATTCACAATTTGATGTAAATGAGGTCGAAGCATATTCTCGTTTTCTTGCGGGAACAAACTCACACTCCCAAAAACTAACTTAAACAACCTCAAATACAAATTACTCCTTTCCACGTTCGACCCCATCTCATCCATCCGCTCCAATAAATACTCAACCAAAACCGTCGCAAAAATCGGACTCGTCGAAGGATTCGCCAACAACGTATTAGGAACGATTTGTAACGTTGGATTTTTATAAACCCTCTCAACTATGTACTCAATAGTGGTCGAAAAAATTTCGTGAAAAGTTTGGGCATTCATCAAAGTAAAAACGCTACTAAAATGCTCCAAAACTTCCTTTTCTTCTTTATTTCGCACGTTTTGTTGGTTTAATCTCGCTTGGCCGCCTAATGGGAGATTTCCACAACTCAATGTGTAAACGTCGAGAGCTTTTAACGCCCATTTAACCAATCTGATGAATACTAAAGTTTCATGCGCGGCGAATTGTTTTGCGTTTGTGGCTGTTACGTAAGGTTTGCAGGCTAAATAACCCCAAGTTATCGTTTTAACCCCGCAAACTAACGTTTTAACCAAACTTCGGTAATCTGATACGTTGTAAGTGGGCGTTTGGGGGAAGCCGAATTTTAATTTTTCTTCCTTCGGGCCTGTTTGACCCGTTAAGTTCGCTTCGAGCATTTCTTGTTGGGTTCGGAGATCGATTTCGGATTTTATGTCGATTCCTTGAGGGGTTGGGGTGGGTGTTGGCGTTGTTTGTTGTTGTTTACTACTAAAATTGTTTAAAAAAATAATTAAAAGAAAATAATGTGCAATTGAAAAACTTACAATTTCTCCATCATTCTTGGAAGTTGGATTTTCGCAATCGTTTTAAATTTTAATACGAATACCTCCAACATTCTCATTAACAGTTCTTTCCCTTCTGTGGCATTTTCGACCTCGACGCGGTGTTTGATGCAATCGACCAGGTTTAAAAGGAGTTTGCAGGACATCGTTTGGATCCTAATTTATTAAAAACAAATTTAATTAATTATAAATTCAATTTAATTTAAATTGTTTATTTAGCGTTATTGAAAAAATTTAGGTTGGTAACCCTGAAATTTGACAATTCATTCTGAGCGATTTATGTCAATTTAAAAAATTTTGAGGTTAGAATAAAAATTTTTCTATTTTTGTTAGGTACTTAAATTTTAGATGTTAAATGTTTATACGTCTTTGACTTAACGATAATCTTAGTGGAAGATGTGAGACGAAGTTGATGACATAAAAAGTTAGGTTATGTTTTTGTAAACTTCTCCAATTAATTTATGGAAGAGAAATTTCTTCGTAGAACTTAAAATCACTTGAAATGAATGATATGAGTGTTCAAAAACGTATTTTGATGGTTCTTTTTGGTTCAAATACATTTTTTTCTTGAAAATTTGTTGATTTTAAGAAGAAATTAAGCGAGTGTCAAAAATACCATTTAATAAGATTAATTCCCGCTAGATGGGGTGAGAATCTGGTTAAAAAGAAGAAATTTTTAAGATTAAAGCATTAAAATTTGAATAAAGATTCTATTCGCCTTTAAAGTTTCATTGATTAATTCATAAAAGAATAAACAAATAAAATTATTAACAAAAATACCTTAATAATTTCAAGTTGATGACACAAAAAGTTAGGTTATGCTCCAATTAATTTATGGAGAAAAAATTTCTTCGTAGAGCTTAAAATCACTTGAAATAGATGGTTTGAGTGTTCAAAAACGTATTTTGATGGTTGTTTTTGGGTGAAATACATTTTTTTCTTGTAAATTTGTTAATTTTAGGAGAAATGAAGCGGGTGCGTTAACTGTCAAAAATACGATTTAATAAGGTTAATAATTCCCGCTAGATGGGGTGAGAATCTGGTTAAAAAGAAGGGATTCTTAAGATTAAAGCATTAAAATTTGAAATTTTTCCCTAAATAAAGATTCTATTCGCCTTTAAAGTTTCATTGATTAATTCATAAAAGAATAAACAAATAAAATTATTAACAAAAATACCTTAATAATTTCAAGCTGATGACACAAAAAGTTAGGTTATGTTTTCGAAAACTTCTCCAATTAATTTATGGAGACAAAATTTCTTCGTAGAGCTTAAAATCACTTGAAATAGATGCTTTGAGTGTTCAAAAACGTATTTTGATGGTTCTTTTTGGTTCAAATACATTTTCTTTTTGTAAATTTGTCGATTTTAAGAAGAAATTAAGCGGGTGCGCTAACTGTCAAAAATACGATTTAATAAGGTTAATTGAGTTAATTCCCGCTAGATGGGGTGAGGAGCTAAGTTAAAAGGAAGGAATTTTTTAGATTTAAAAAACGAAAAAGCATTAAAATTTGAAATTGAATTCAAATTACGTGAAACAAATTGTTTAAGTGTTCAAAAACGTATTTTAACGCTTCTTTTTGATTCAAATACATTATTTTTATGAAAAATGAAATTGTCAAATATACGTTATAATACGCTTTTTTACCGCTAGATGGATCTCCATCTATACAAAAACATTATTTTCACCTAAATGAATATTAATTTTCTTTTTTTAATAATAATAAATAATTTGTGGGTTCAAAAACATATTTAGTTTTTTTTAGTTTTGTTTAAATCATATCTTTTTTTTAAATTTATATTATGGCTGTCAAAAACTTGAAGAAGATAATAATCATAGTGGAAGATTCCAATTTTATCTTTGCAAAGAAGAAATGTTAATTGTAAAAATTAAAAATGAAGTAATTTAAGAATCGAAAAATCAAAATAAATAATTAAAAACCTTTAAATTGTTCTTGGAAATTAAAAATATCCAAATAAAAAGTTGAGGTTATGTTTGACGATTAAGTCATTCGTTATAATTCTTAACCACAAACAAAATTAACTTTTTATTATAAATATGAATATTTATTAAATGATTTAACTTGTGTGGTCGGATTTTGTTACACAAAAGTAAGTGATGAGAGTCTCATTTGATGAAAATCGTCATATCTATAGATAATAGAATATAAACCCATACAATAATAGAATAGACAAAAACTTGAGGAAGATAATAATCATAGTGGAAGATTCCAATTTTATCTTTGCAAAGAATAAATGTTAATTGTAAAAATTAAAAATGAAGTAATTTAAGAATCGAAAAATCAAAATAAATAATTAAAAACCTTTAAATTGTTCTTGGAAATTAAATAAAAAGTTGAGGTTATGTTTGACGATTAAGTCATTCGTTATAATTCTTAACCTCAAAAAAAATTAATTTTTTATTATAAATATGGATATTTACTAAATGATTTAACTTGCATACTCGGATTTTGTTACACAAAAATAAGTGATGAGAGTCTCATTTGATGAAAATCGTTATATCTATAGATAATAGAATATAAACCTATTCAATAATACATAGAATAGACAAAAACTTGAAGAAGATAATAATCATAGTGGAAGATTCCAATTTTATCTTTGCAAAGAAGAAATGTTAATTGTAAATATTAAAAATGAAGTAATTTAAGAACCGAAATATCAAAATAAATAATATAAAACCTTTAAATTGTTCTTGGAAATTAAAAGTTGAGGTTATGTTTGACGTTTATGTCATTCGTTATAATTCTTAACCTCAAAAAAAATTAATTTCTTATTATAAATATGAATTTACTAAATGATTTAACTTACGTGGTTGCCAACGAATCATCATGTACATTCTTACTAAATAAATGTACAGCCCTCGCAATATTCGATAAAGTTAATTGTTGCCTCACATGGTGTACTAAATCAGCTAATGTTGAGTATGCTAAAGGTCTCAAAGATTCTTGTGTAGTCCACCCACGTCCCAACAAAACATCCTCATCAAACAACCTCTCCATGTGTGGTACAAACTTATTTCTCAAATCAGTGGCTAAAATGTGCCTCGAAGCAATTAAAAGTTCCCTCCTTAAATGAGCAACCTCCATGGGACAGAGAGTTAATAACCCCAACATGCCCTGAACGAGCATTGCAGAGTGATTGGCGACGACGTCTTGGTAAATTTTAATGATGTACGCCAAAAATGATAAAGTTTTAATTTGGGCTCCCATAAAATCGACGAAAATTTCTTTATTAAAAGTCTCGGATTGTCGTTGAATTAACGATGGTTGAAGTGTTATCGTGGTCATTATTAAAGGGATGAAGTCACTGACGTCTTTGTAGACGCTTTGTTTATATAGTTGGTACATTAAAACGACGATTATCGGCAGATCTTGGATTACTTTTAATGATAGGACAGCTTTTGGGATTAAATTATACTAAAATAAAAAAGGATTAACTCAAAAAGTATTAATTAATTCGAAATTAACTTACGCAAATAACCGTTTGATCCTGTTTTCTCTTTTCAGTTTGTATCATTGTAATCGTAAAAGTCTCCTTTAAAAGTTCATCCATGTTCAGATCGCTTAAATCTTTCACTTTAATGGGCGGTTTTGGTTCGAAAATTTTATTGATGTGGTTCGGTAATTCCGAGTACATATTTTTAACGAATTGTAAAAAATGTTGTAACTAAAAATTACAAAAATTAATTAATTTTTAGATTATAATTTTGAAATTAAAACTTACCTCGGAATTAAAAGCTGGGCGAAATTGCTTATGCAACTCAATAATAATCTTCAAACAAACCAAAACGTTCTCTTCGTTATCGATTTCTAACAACTTCAAAGCTAACGATAAAATCGGCTTAACGTATTGCCGCAATGTTTCGTTCGTTGGTAATCGATACAACATCTCTAAAATTAATTTTCGTACTTGTTGGATGTTGTATTCGGCTATGAAGTGAGGTTCTCCTTCTTGAAGTACTTTTAAAAACACTTTAATTAAGTGGTCTAAAAAGCTGTGGTACACTGGGGAGCTTAAAAATTGCTCGAAGCTTTCGCTGATTTCTTGTGTTGCTTTTAATTTTAAATCGTCTTTGCATGTTGAGTCGGCTAACATAGCGACTATGCTTCGGAATTTGTTGATGGTTTGAGCTGGAGTTTCCGTTGAGGCCATCTTAATTAATTAATTAGTTCTTTTTAATAAAGTTAAATAATATTTACATCTGAAAATAAAAGAACAAAAATTATCGACTGGTTTGGTTTAGTGCATGTTTTGGAAACGAGTGGTTAACACGGAATGTACCCGCCAGGGTGTGCTTTTAGAGCTTTCGGTGCAGATTGTTCAGAGCTTTGAAGTCGCGCGGATTGTTGCTGAACATATTTATTTAAAAAAATGGATGATAAAACGATCGATCAAATTTTTGCTGGATCTTTGGATAATTTACCACCGGTTAGCTCAAAGATTGTGAGGATATTTACAAGCTCAACTTTCACAGGTAAAATTTTTTTATTCCAAAAATCTTTTTTTCTTTAAGTTATATTTTAGATACAACAATGGAAAGAAACACTTTGATGGCTAAATGCTACCCGAAAATTAAAGATTATTGCAGAGAAAAACACGGATTAGAATTTCAGGTAAAATAAAAAAAAATTGATTAGTTGGGTGTTAAAAATAACATGACTTTGATGAATAAACTGGCCTTGATTGCGGGGTATCCGAAAACTTGGTACGGAATGGTACCAAACTTTCTGACCTCCTAACATCGAAACAACAACAAAAATCAATAATAACCACTTGAAACGTTAAGAAACAACTTCAAAACATTTCAACTCAAAGCATTTTTAATATATCAATTCTAATTTTAAATTTATTGCGATTTAAAGTTTTTTTTTGATAAAATTTCTCAAAAATTTTAAGATATTCGTAAAGATCAGGAAATTTTAACCTAATTTGATGTATCACACTCTATATTTATAACAAAGATCACTTAAAAAAAAACTTT